CCCACGTGGCTTGTGGTTGGCTCATCACCGCGGGGAAGTAGCGCCCCCTTGCGGCCGATGCTGTGCGGTACCTCTGTGGGTCCCAGCCTGGCTCGAGAAGCACCTGCATTTTAGCGCTCCGGACGTTTGGAAACTGGTGTTTCCACATATTCCTCCATCAGTGATACCGGGCGGAGGTGGAGATGGGGTTAGGGGAAGATCCCCGGCAGGATTACGGACAGAAGCAGCCTTACTGTAGGGCACCCCTGTCGGAAATGTTCAGAGCCAAATCAATTTCTTTATTGGGCTCGTCTTCCCATTCCCAGTCACCTTGGTGCTCTTTTTTGTACCTTTTTTGGTTTCTAAGGTGAAGTTGTTTGTAAATCTAAAGGGGAAAATATGTACTTTTAGAAATCAAGTCTGAGATTTTGGGTTATTTGCTCAACTTCTGTCCAAAGCAAGCTATGGAAATAAACCCCAGCATTTTCGTGGTTAGAAAGAAAGGGTTTTTAAACACTTCGAGTCAGCTGTAGAATTGGGGTAGGGCCTTACTTGGACGAATCTGCCCGAGAGCCACATATATGATCAGCAGGCAATGAGTCTGAGTATGGAGGAGTAGAGAGAAGAAAGAGGGCGGGAAGGCAGCAGCAGCAGGAATGAAGAGCGAAAATAATTCGGGAAAGGAAAGCAGAGCAGGAAAATGCCAACAAGGAGTGGAAACAGTACAGGTAGACAACAGCAGTTAGAGTCTTTCCAGATCCATACGAACCCACCACGTGTGTGAGGGCCACGGCGCAAAGAACGCCCGGAGTCCCTGTTGTTGGCGTCGTGCCTGGCGAGCCGAGCCTTAGTTCCTTATCCACACAGGTCTACGATTTTGATTTGGATTTCCTCAAGCCCAGTTACTTCAGAGATGTCCCATCTCCTAGGATTTCTTCTGCAGAAACTCTAATCCTCAACTGGCTTTGAAATCAGAATGAGGGCACTCCAAGATCGTCCTCCAAGACAAGCTGCCAATTTGGGGTACCTCCAAAACAGGGGACCGGATCATTACAGTGCAGGTGACCAAAGTGACTCTTCCCAATCCAATTAGGCAATTAATTTTTAGTTATGACCAACAATATATTGAGCTTGGCTAATGAAATCAGAGATTGAGGCTCTGGTTCTTGCTAAATGGAATTAGGACAAAACTAATTAAAATAGAAGTTTATTAGTTAAAATACATCATCTGTGAAAACATGGAAAACAGAGAACATATTGAAAATACTGCATGAAGAGTGGGGTGCCTGGGTGGCTCAGTTGGTTAAGTGTCCAGCTTGATTTCGGTTCAGGTCATGATCTCAGGGTCCTGAGATGGAGCCTCACCTTTCCTAGGGCTCTGTGCTGAGCTCAGCGTGCAGCCTGCTTAAGACCCTCTCTCCCTCTCCCTCTCCTTCTGCCCACCTGCCCCACTCTCTCTCCCTCTAAAAAAAACCACCCCCCACAAACCAAAAAACTGCATAAAGAATGACACACAGGGATGCCTGAATGGCTCAGTTGGTTAAGTGGCTGCCTTTGGCTCAGGTCATGATCCCAGCATCCTGGGATCGAGTCCCACATTGGGCTCCTTGCTCAGCAGGAAGCCTGCTTCTCCCTCTGCCTCTGCCTGCCTCTCTGTCTGCCTGTGCTCTCTCTCTGACAAAAAAAAAAAAAAAAAAAAAAGAATGACACACAGAGAAATTACATGCTTTGAGGAGCCCTAGGCCACTTTTCTCTTTTCTAGTGGAGTTAGGCATGTTATGAGTGTTGAACTCTAATGTCACAGCTTTAAAAGTCATTGAAAAGCAAGTTAAACTCACAGTGAAGAAATAGCTATGCTCTGTGTGCTGCTGGGTATGTCGTTGTTGTAGTTCCTTTTCGAATCTTCTTCTGACCTCAGCACCTGTCTACTCTTCTCACCTCTCTGAAGGGCTTCCGAGTGGATTTTTCCTCTCAACAGTAGCCCCCATGGATCCAGGGTTGAGATTTCTAAAGGAAACCCCAATCCTCTTCTCTCCTGGAAATATCTGTATTCCCCAAGTTCCAGACTTGAGGGGAAAAGTGTGGTATAATCTTAGAGTCAGGCAGGCAGAGTTGGAATTCCTGTTCTGGCCCCTACAAACCATGGGATCTTCTATATGTTCTCCAAGCTTCAGTTTTGAAGATAAAATATACAATGGGTTGGACACATAATACTCAACAAAGGGTAGCTTTTGTATCTTAATCCACATACTCTCAGAATCTTGCTTTGGAAATTAAAAGCCGTGATATGCTGGGGGTACTATGCCTCTGGTCTCCTGTTACTTGTGTTCTATCTGTGTTAGGTTTTGTATTTTTATAAAGCTCATGTAAGGGGCACCTGGGTGGCTCAGAGGGTTAAGCCTCTGCCTTCAGCTCGGGTCATGATCTCAGGGTCCTGGGATTGGGCCCTGCATCAGGCTCTCTGCTCAGTGGGGAGCCTGTTTCCCCACTCTTTCTGCCTGCCTCTCTGCCCTACTTGTGATCTCTGTCAAATAAGTAAAAAAAAAAAATCTTAAAAAAAAAAAAAAAAAAAAGGATTCTATCCTGTTTTAAAAAAAAAGAAAAAAAAAAAAAAAAGAAGCTCATGTAACTCTGGACCACATGGACCCTGGCGGGATTACTGATGTTCAACTGGCATTTTAAAGAAATGCTCGAAAATATTTAGAGGATAAAATTATTCTTACCTGTTTAAGTGAAGTTATTACTGACGAACATACTTATTACTAGCGTATTATTACTCTTCTACTATGTTCTTCATGATCCTTGGTAACGCAGTAAATGCTTAAAATATAACAATCTGTTAATTTGTAGCATCTATAGATTGATTGCACATACATGCTACTGAGTTTCCTTAAGACATCAGCACACTTACTATCAAGTATGACTGTTGCCTACATGGTGTGGTCACCTAATTACCAAGAGGGGATGTGTGCCATTTTGCCCCCTTTAAAAATGGCAAGGGCAAAACAAACAAAAATGGCTACAATGAAACAAAAAACCCCCCAGACTCAAGTAGAAGGGAATGGAGGGGAAAGAACTACTTTTGTGCCCAAAAGTGCCCCTTAGGATTTGTATTGGTTTTCTGCAATCACCCTAACCCCCTAAGCCGGTCTGGCAGTGTGGTCAGCAACCCCCAGGCTCAGCCCAGAGGAATTGGGTGAGCCAGTGGTTTCCAGCCAGCATCCACTCTGAATCAGTCCCTGTGCTGCCCTAATTGTTAAGTATTTTTACTCTCTCCCTGAGTGAAGCGGATACGCTGGCAGATTTAGAAAACACCCATTTGGGGAACTATAAAATACGGAACCCCAGAATATTCTCCAACAACATTGATAGTCATGAAAATGACGTTAAGAAGGATTTTACAAAGAAGTATTGCAATACCACTTCTGTTTTCATTTTTAAGTTTGTAAGGGGTTATGCTGTACCTACTTGACTATCTATTATTTCGCTTAACTCCCAGCCTTCTGAGTTGCCCTTTCAGTTTCTAGAGCTTGAGAGCAAGCATCTAATCAGGGCCAGTGTGGAGACGAGAGGCTGTGGGGTGAGAAAGGTGTACCGGCCAGGAGCAACGGACCACAGCTGCTAGGCTACCTGGCACATTCTAGTTTTGGTCTTTGGGCAGTGATACTTAGGGGCTCAGCTGGCATCCAGAGGGCTATGGAATCATTCCCAAGGCTCCATCCAGCGGTACCCTGCCTTCATCAATGACTCTCTCCTTTACTCCTCTCCTTTACATGTGAAAAAAGGAGATTTCTATTAGAAATCTTCTGTACCAAATTACTTCTTGTCCAAAGTACCATAACCTACTGGGAAAACAGGAAGTCTTCCCCCTTAATTAACCACACATTCATAAGTATTAAAATAAGAGAAAAATAAATTATTCAACACTGACATTTTATTTCCTGAACTTTATCATTTTTACAAAACAAAACAAAAAGCAGGTATCAAAAACAGCAAAGAGGTTATAGAATTTCTCCACCAGTTCTCACATAAGACAGTGATTACAAAACTGGTGTCCAATGTAAATACTAAACACAGGCTGATTTCCCTCTTGGTCATGTGCATTCAGGTGGTTTGTTTTGGAGTTACTGAATGATAACATTTTATAAGCACCGGTCATTTTTTGAGAACCGATTTGGTTTGTCCAACAAAGTAAACACTTTTTGCTATGTGGCATTTTCCTTTTTTAAAAACCACTGAGCTACAATACAGACTGTATATGTGTCTGGATCTGAACCAAATCTTTTAAGATCCTCATTACCCTGAAGAACACTGAAGACATTTATAGGGCGTATTAGACACTAGTTAAATACCTCGTAATGTCTAAGGCAGCGATTACATTTCTAAAGAAAAGAGCGGTTCATTCAGAGGCTGCCCAGAGTTTGAACTTCATCATTGTTTCCAAGTCTTTTCTCGTTTGGAGTAGTTTCCCCACACTGGGTCGTATTATTAGAACAAAGTTTTATGCTCGTGCCGAACTGGCTCTGGCATTTCCTAGATACATTTTTGTAGAGCAAGACTCCTTGCTCTGGACCCTGGAGACCACAAAGACATCGGGAGGCCATGATTATCGGATGCAGCGAGAAGCAGCGTCCGTAAGCTCCCGTGGTCTGGCGGTAAGCAGAAATAAAGCTGCAACTTGAAATGCTGTTCACCCACCACTCATTCCAGAAACACATTTTGCTTAAATAAGGGAATTCTGGTCCAGTTTTGCAATGTTAACAGCTGCCAGTTTCTCAACTGTATTTTTTATAAAGATCATTTCCTGGCTAGCAGTGAGTTAGGAAACTGGCCTCATATTCTGATCAAATTTCTCACTATTAGTCAAAAACGAAACAAAACACCTTAAAGAAAAATGCAAAAACAAAACCAAACCCCACCAAGCCAATAGGGGTTAAAATTGCACAATTAAACTTGGAGGCAAATTGTACTATATACAGACAGGTATACGCTGAAATCGTTTTTCAGAGCATGGAATACTCCTGTTCATAAATATTTCCTCTGTATTATCCCAATTTTCATGAAAGGAAAACAGATACGTGATTTTCTTCTTTACAGAGATGAAAAAAGGAAGCAAGAAGGCAAAGCTGAGAGAAACAGATGCCGCCTAAAGGGCAGCGGTGGCATTTGGTTGTTTTGGTCTTTGTACCAGCGACTCCCACACCCACAGCCTATCCAGTTCCTGCCGACTACACGGTTTTCCTTGCAGTCAGGACTCGAACAATGGATCCGACTCCTCCAGCAGCAAGTGCCTAAGAAGAAACCAAAACGTAAATGCTGATGGAATCAGGAAGGGTCAATTCTCATACCAAGTAAAACATTTTTCTTAAAGAAGGAATGTGTCCAGCTATCAGCTTTGGATTCATTAATTTTCACACGCATTTCTTGCACACCCATCGTGTGCCAGGCACTGTTCTCAGCACACAGAGACCCACACCACCTTCGCAGTCCCTGCCTCGTGCACCCACATGCCAGTGAGACAGTAGCTGATATTCTACTATGTTGTTTTTGCATAACAGGATGTTCTTACAGCATGTGCTTGCCTAAAACAAGTGCTCACATATAAACTAGGACTTGCATATTGCTCTCTTAGCTCTGTCAGGAAGAAATTCAAACCGGGATCAACTGCCCTAAGTTCCATTTAGATTAGCCAGTCTGTCAGTTTCTTTTTATTCCCCCAAGCTAAGAATGTATTATTCAATAGCTAAGAACTTGGGAACTTTAAAATTTTGACTTTCCCTTCAAAAACTGCAAGTCCTGAGTATCAGGAATTGAAAGCTCTGGCTTACTTCCTGAATACTTCTGTGTACTGGGTACAGTGTTGGATGCTAGGGACAGAGCATCTTCTGGTCTACCAGGAAGAGACAGATATATAAGGAGATCATGCTAGTATAATGTATGCAGTGACAGAGCTGTGCCCTCAGTGAGGAGGCACTCAGGCACAGAGAAAATCCTGAGCAAAGGTCGAGGAGTATGAAACAGTACGGTGTATTCTGGGAAAGCACATGATTACGCTGCTCACTGCCGGAGCATGGGGGGAAGGACAGCACAGCAGAGGAGCAGCTAGACTTAGGAACTTGGACTTCATTCTGCAGGTGGCTGACAGGGTAGATCTGGTTTGGAGAGAGGGCATTCTGGCAACCGGGTGGAGAACAGATTCGAGGGAGGCAGAACTGGTAGCTGGAGGCCCGGATAGGAAGTTACAGCAACAGACGGAGAGAGGCTGCAAAGAGCTGCATTAGAGAGGTATCCGAGTGCATGGCTGGAGAATTACTTAGCAGACAGAATGGCAAAAACTGGTGACTGATGTTAGGAAGCAATCAAGGCTGAACGTGGGCCTCAGTTTCTCCATCCACCAAAAGAGGTATGACAACAAGCTTTCTCTCCTAGTATTTTTATGAGGATTAATGGAGTTAATATTTGTAAAGTGCTTGGGAGAGTGCTTGGAATACAGTAAGTGCTCCATCAGTGGCTGCTATGATCCTGACACTGGACAGGAACCACGTGGCTTAGGTTTTTAAGTGGTCTCTTCACCTCTAAATTGAGGATGACAAAGATGTTTATATACCTTGTAGGGTCATTATAAGGCTTAAATGAAACATCAACTAATGGTACAGTGACTGGCAAATGGGAAGTGTTCCTGATCAGGATGACCATATACATTACTCTCCAACTGGTACACTGGAGACTGAAAGGGAATTAGTCATAATTATGTTGGGAGAACAGGCATAAACTGGGGCCATCTTGGGAAAACGGGGAGGTCTGGTTACCCCATCCATAAAAGGTAGTCTCTTTATCTGGCCACGGTTGAGGCATCAAGTGACTTGACAAAGACGAGTTTTACTATCTCTTTAGTGTGTGTTTTCCTCACTGAATGTGTTGTAAACGAGAATCTCTTAAAACCAAGGCCAGTAAGCATAAATCTAAACTTGCATTTCCATGCATTTATCTGTAAAAACAAAGATGTACAGCCGAGAAGTCAAAATAATTATTTAGGTGGTAGAAGGTGTGTCATTGTTACTTTCTATTATAAAGGAGCCAGTCATGGTGATTTAGAATTCGTAACTTACCTTCTCATGCCATTGCAATAACACAGCACTGCTATTGTCAGAGGGGCTCTCGAAGCCTTTATAAATATACTTCATTAGAAGATCCACACCATTCTTGTCCAGGGATTGAACTGCCTTTTCAATATCATTTGCTTTAAAAGAGATGAGCACCTTCAAAACAATGCTGCCTGCTCGATCCTGGGGATAAATAAAGAACAGAACATTTATTTTTAATCTATCAATTTATTTATTTATTTTTAATTAATGTCTTTTTAAAAAAGATTTTATTTTATTTATTTGACAGAGAGATAGAATCACAAGTAGGCAGAGCAGCAGGCAGAGAGAGAGGGGGAAGCAGGCTCCCCGCAGAGCAGAGAGCCCGATGTGGGGCTCGATCCCAGGACCCTGAGATCACGACCTGAGCTGAAGGCAGAGGCTTAACCCTCTGAGCCACCCAGGCGCCCCAGAACAGAACATTTAGACGTGCGTGTGAAGTGGTTGTTCCAGAAAGGCTCCACTGAGGTGACATTAAAACCTGATGGGACATAAAGAAGCATCCTTGGGTGTATCTGAGAAAACCATTTCAGACAGAGGAAAGAACAAATACTGTTATTGTGTGTCCAGGGTGTTCAGGGACAGCAGAAAGCTCCCTGGGGGCCAGAGAGATATGGCAGAATAGTAGGACAGGAAGTCAGAGAGGCAGCGGGAAGACAGACCACATGAGCCCCGCAGGCCCCTGTGAGGATTCTGGCTTTAAGAGAAATGGGAAGATGTTGGAAGGTTTTGAGAAGAACAGTGATATAAACTGACTGGTATTTTAACAGGATCCCTTTGGCTGCCATGCTGAGACCAAGCCGATGCTGGGCTGGTTGGGGCGCAGGCAACGAGGCAGAGCTGGGAGACCCGTTTGGAAGGGACTGCGATAATACAGGCTGGCTTGGGCTAGCATGGGAGCAGTGGAGGGGGACAGACTCTTGACGTGTCTGAAGGAGAGCTGAAAGGATTTGCTTACAAACACATATGATAACTTGCCCATTTTATTAAATCGGTATTTAAATTTTACTTCTTGACCTCAAAAAAAAAACCCTGAGGACAAAGAAAAAAACGAACTGCAATTCTATATTGAACCATCCTTCAATAATAATAAATAAAACTAAGCTTTTAAGAACACCCATTTTAAGTTTCCTATCTACAGTCAAGATATAAGATATAGTGATCTTCGTTTTACGATGATTTTTTTTCTTTGATAAAAGGCTGCTCCAAGAGCAAAGTCATTTTTTCACCCATGAAGGAAGCAGAGAACACTTAATTTACCCTTTCAACAATTTCACCTCGCCTATTCAAGAGTGATATCTTTGGCATTCCTAATGATCAGGAGTTTACAGAATGTTTCTACCACCTATCGTTGTCTTCAGTTTAAAGACTATGCAATTACCCAATTTAGAAAAATATTCTTAACCACCACAGCTATAACTTCCCACCCGCAAACTGTGATAAAAACTCACCCATGTAAAAGCAGAAGGTGGTAAAGCTGAAATTTCAATGACCTCTCTCTAAAAAAGCAACTAAATAGAATCTGTTTATTTTGCAAGAGTTTTGTTTATTCTTCAGGCCTTTGCTCAAATTCAACCCAAGTGCCTCCAATAAACACACAAAAAAGATCTCTCATTCTCATAACTCAGTATTAGATTGCTGTTTTTCACATGTAAATTTTTACCTATCAAACTACAGAGTAAGCTCTTCCACATCAAAGACAAGAAATGGTTAAAATATTTGTTGCCTTCATGACACTTCAGAGGATTCTGGTAAGAAAGCTTCGGTATCAGCAGAGATCACTGTGGGTCTGGGACTTACCTTCACCGCCTGACTCTTGGTGTTGATAGGGGGATTTTTCAAAGCTGCCTGGAGGGCGGCTGTCATGTTTCCTGTGATGGAGGTTAAGGGAATAGCACCAAAGGGCAGCCCTCAGGAAAGCACTGTAAATATCATTGGTTCTGAAGACCTGACTTTATGCATAGAAAGAAAAATTACCACGGTCACTCTGTTGAATATTGGAAAACTCAGCATGTTGGTTTCAAGGATGTCAATCAAATGTAAAATATTGAAGACATAAAGAAAGTAATAAGGCAAAGACCAGTTCCTGTCTGGCTCTAACTACTAAATGAACACTTTGGTGACAGCCTTTTCTTTTCCAGTAAGACACAGATGCAAACATGATCCAGTTACATTTCTAAAAAATTATACGTATCTCAGAATTATCAGGTCCCAAAATGAAACAGCACATTCTCAACCAAGATGTCTTTTTATGTGATTCTGACTGGAAAAATAAAGACCAAACGCTTGCTAGAATTATATTCTATATGAATTGAAATGTGGGTAGAAAATGCTGGTGATTATTACAGCACTCTAAATGAGATACCTCAGCAATCTCTCAATATTAATGAAAAGAGGCACTACGAAAGATCTAGTAATTCAAGGACCTTTAGGTAGTAGCTTAATTTTTCTGTTTTGTGTTATTTTCTCTTATATTTCATAAAGGTTATTGAAACTGTTTTAGGTCATACCTATTAAATTTAGTCTTTGAAAGCACCAGTGAGTTAGCGAGTATGAGACACGGAAGGCCAATCAGACTGTCAGAATATACAGTCATTCCCCTAAAAGGAAAACCACAGAGTTTACTTGTTCCTCCATCCGTAGTGCCTGGCCCAGAGCTTGTCTCTTCTGGTTGCAACAAGAGAAGAAGAGACAGTATCTTTTTATTTTACCATAGTGATTAAAAAGCAGATCCATTATATGGACACAGCGGTACCAGTTAAAGACTCCTCACCCATCCACCTAAAGTTAGTTCACAAAACATCATTTATCCACCACAAAGAGTATTTTCAGACAGAGTCATGTTCACTGCTTATGTCTGGGAGAAAGAGAGAAAAAAAAGTCTGACCCAAAAAAGCCCCCAAACCAAAAAATCCCTATGGGTGGTGGTAAGCTGTTATTTTCAAGGGTTACCAGAACTTCTAGAAAAGCATGTCTGTTGCAGACTGGCTCATTGTTAAGACCTAAAGCATTTAAGTATTTAAGTAATGCAAAATAGCAACATCTGACTGTGAAAGTTGTGGAAATCAAAGAAACATCTGCATGTTGATAAATGTTTAGTGCTGTATTTTAGGTGCCTTTAAGACTAGATATAGTTACAACCAGTATTTTCACTCATATTTCTCCATTATACTTTATTTAATAGGACATTGATGAGGAAAGGGTTTAGAGTCTTCCCTATCTTATAATACATTCAAGAATAATTAGAAATGAGTGAATTCAGTAATTGAGATTCTCTAAAATTACAGCATTAGTTGTTGCAACATTTACATTTTTCTAAAAAAGATGTGATGCAAATGCTGAAATTTATGAATATTCAAATATGCAAAAACAAAACCCAGGAACTGACAGCCACATTTTAACTGAAATGGAAACGATTTCAGGGTTACAAAAATGATCCTGCTTTGTACAAATGACTCATCGTCTATTTTATTCACTGGGGTTTATTTTAAATATTTCCAGGGATTCTCCATATGCAATCCCTCTTTCCATTGTCCCTCGCTTAGCAGTTAAAAGCCTCCAACCTTCCTTCTCGGGAGTTGGTTGTTTCGTACTCTTTCCCTTCCTGCCGGTTAACAAATTCTGTACCTTGCAACCTTTATCTTGCCAAATTCCTTTCTCTTTACATAATAATGCTTTTTAAAAACGCCCAGGGTTTAGATCGAGGGCCTCAATTCTGCAAACCGCCCCATCCCTCCCAGCAAGGAATAAACCCTCCCAACGCTGCCAAAACCAAACCACCACAACAGAAGCGGCAGCCTGCTACTTCCCAAACACAAATTTCTGGAGCCGATGTGACTCCGGCCAGGACAACGTGAGCGCCCCCCGAGAGCCAGACGGCAGCACCAGATGCCTCCCCCCGCGCCGCGAGGGCGCGGCCGGCCCCGCCAGTTCCCGGAGGCAGGAACTCCGGCCGCAACCTGAGGAATCGCGGCGGGAAAGGCGCGCCGGGAAGGGCAAGTTTCCGAGGCGGGTCCCTGGGGTCTCCGGGCGACTCGGGTAGAAATGGGAGTGTCCCCTGCCCTCTCAGAGCGGACAGATTTAAGTCATGGGCCGCTGGGGGCAGCTCCGCGCCCCTGGCCCGGGGACTGCGGGGTCCCGGGAGAGGGGCGGGGCGGGACGGGGAAGGGAGGCCGGCAGACGCAAGGATATTGCCGCAGGCAGGAGTCCACCTCGCCTTCGTCGGGCCCGGCCTGCCCATCGCCCCCGTCTTCCTCGTCCACGAACTTGTTCTCGTCGTACTCATCCACGTCCACCTTCCGGAACCGGGCCGACGACACCGTGTTCTTCGACATCCCCGATCCCGACCGGCGGCAAAAGCCTCCGCTGGGTTGCTGCCTCTACCTCGGTAAGCGAAGCCCACCAGGAACCCGCAGCCTGGCGCCTTCACTTCCCTCTTCCGCTCTGGGGCGTCGCCGGCAGTCGGGGCTCGGGCGCTTCTGGGCCTGCGCGCTGGCGGCGCTCCTTCCTCCTCAGCTTCATGCTCTTCTCTAGCCTCCTACGCCGCCCCCGCTCTTCCCCCGGGAGCGCGCGCGAGGGAGGGAGCGCGCTGAACGCAGTGCGCAGGCGCAGGCTCTCTGCAGGAAAGGGGCGGGGCTGGGCGAAGGAGGCGGGGGCGGAGGGGGCGGGGCCGGGGGAGGGCCGAAAGCGGGGCCGCGGGCAGAGGGAAGAGGCAATTGGTCGTCCGATGCCGTCATGTGATCCTCAGAGGGTTTCCATAGCAACGCTTCTCTGCGGTCCAGTCGGGGCGGGGGGGTGTGGGGGGTCCTTAGGTTGGTGGCTATGGGCACTGGAGGCGGGTGGCTTTTGCTGCCGCCGCCGCTGCCGGCGACCTGTCATCTGGGTCCTGCGTGAGGTCCGGCTGGCCCGGACTTGCCTGTGAGGTGGGATGGACTGGTTGCCGGACCGAGTCCCCTGCAGTTGGCAGGAGTATGGGGCGGAGTGATGCGCGCCCAGGCGCCCAGCGTCGTTTTAGTTGTCAGAGACATCACTTCGGACCGTGCACTGCCGGTGGCTGCGTTCCTGAGCCGGGAGCCCCTTTCCCCGGGTTGGAACTACGCTGTGCAGCCAGAGGGAGGTCCCCAAGGACGGAGTCGAAAGGTCATATCTTATCCGTCAGTGCTGTGTGACAGCATCCCGACGGCACCGGCAGAGTAGGTATCATATCCGTTGGGAGGGAGGGGAAGGTTCTGGGCAGGGGCCGGGGTGGCAAAACTGGGGCGAACCTGTGGAATTTGGGGTAGGGTCAGTCACGGACATCTTAAAATAAGTGGCTGTTTGGAGCAAGATTGTTGGAAAAGGATAGGGGCGAGTTACGCTCTCCGGCGATGTGGGGAAACAAAACGTGTGAGGATTAGTGGAAACCAGATCTTTAAGATTTATATTTGTGACTTAAGATTTGTATGATCCTGCTAGGCCAGCTTTTCCTTCATTTGACATCCTCATTTCTGAGAGCAAAGCTCTTAGGAGGAGATAGAGGCACTAACACTAAAGAAATGGTAGTTGTGTTCTGTGTATAACACTGAAGTACAGATATTTGCAGAATAAAATTATTTTGGACATTCAGCTGGACGCTGCTCAGATAGCTTTATGTTTTCCTGACATCCTGTCAGGTCCAGCTCAATTCCATCTCAAGCAGAAACCCGGTTGTTGCCCTGTTAATACCCTAATCCTTGGTTTCCTGTGCTGTATTGAAAAGAGCAGTGGACTCAGAGTCGGAAAACCCTGGCTCAAGTCTTGACTTCGACTCATAATCCATTTGATTGAGGCATTCCACTTAAAATTCTGAATTTCAGGTTCCTCGTTGCTGAAGTGGAGCTAATAATGTGTACTTCACGAGTCTGTTCTGATGATTAAGTACGGGAAAGTGTTCCGAAGCTCTAAAATTCTACCGACATGTAAAATACATGTTACCTGTACCATTGACTTTGGCACTAGTCTTATGAATTACTTAATGACATATCATGTTTTATTTCGCTCCTGGAAGAGATCAAAAGATTCTGGAGGGCAAAGACTTGTCTTATATTTATTTTGTATCTTCCTTTACATCTGATATATTGCTTGGCATGCAGGCAGAAAACTCAATACATTTAGGTACTCAGTTATTCATTGATGAATGAATAAATGTTTGAAAGTCAGAGTGAACATAATGAATCAGTAAGGAAAGGAAGAGAGATCTCAAAATCAACCATTTGTTGGACAGATACGCATACATATGTATATCTATATCTACATTGACATGTATACATATGTATATATGTGGAGATATATACATATATATGTGTATGTATATGTATATATGGAGAGAGACAGAGGGAGTTCTCAGGAATGGAATATATCCTTTCTTGGAAGGAAGAAGCAATATGGCATTTTTCTCTTCTCAATTAAATCACTCGTATAGAAAATATATCATTTACGTGGTGGAAGTGACATTTCTTTAAATTAAGATTCAAGTTATGAGCAAACACATGATAAAGAACTCCTCCATGCTCTGTTTTCAGAGAGCAGAGGAAAATTTTCTACCTGTTGGTAATATTTATTTTAAAAAGTCGTATGCCAGGAGCGCCTGGGTGGCTCAGTGGGTTGAAGCCTCTGCCTTCGGCTTAGGTCGTGATCCCGGGGTCCTGGGATCGAGCCCTGCATCAGGCTCTCTGCTCCGCAGGGAGCCTGCTTCCCTTCCTCTCTCTCTGCCTGCCTCTGCCTGCTTGTGATCTCTGTCTGTCAGAATAAATAAATAGAATCTTTAAAAAAGAAAGTCATATGCCAATGTATCAGACCATTACTATGGTGAGTGGCATTATATAATTTACAATAAAGATTTGTTTTACTATTTCCTCCTCAGTTTCAATCTTTCGCTAACTTTGGTAAGAGCTCAACAGTATACTTGTTTTGATGTGAGAGATGATTGTACTCTTTTGTTCTTCTAAATCAAGATTTTCTTTGAAGAGAAAATTGAACATTAGAAGTGCTATTGAGAGCAAACAGAAACAAGGATTTAAGACTAATGTATCCCTTCTCTTACATTTCTCTTCTTTTGTATTAGGTCTTATTTAGGAAATGTCTCTGTTCTCTTATTTTAGAACTGGGAAAGAATTCTGGGGTAGAAATCAACTTAAGGGAATAGTGAGAGGAATTTAAAAAATCGAGTTGCTCAAGGGTATAATTGATTTGATTACTCAGAATTTTGCTCTATATGTTGAACATGTTAAATATAACTAATTCTCAGTTGCATAATGCATAATACATTTGAGATGTAATAATGTCAAAAGGTCCTTTTCCAATATGGTATTTTTTATTGTCTTGCAATGATAAGTACCTAGTATATAATAGGTATGAAACGTATTTGTATCCAATGAATAATCTAACAATTTTGCAATCATATTTAGAGAGTATTTCTTAACGGATACATTAATTTCCTCCCTACCCTAATCAGCTAACAGTCAAATCTATAAAGCTTTAGGGAAATGTGTGTGTGTGTGTGTGTAGAAACCTGTCCTTAATTATGTTTTAATTAGATAATACACATTATTCCACTTTATTGCAAATTACAACTTTTTATGTTAACCATGGTACTTAATTCATTTTAGATAATATTATTTCCCCTATTTTAATTTTCCAAATGAGTGTGTATCCCTGAAATAACAGATCCATAAGGCTTTAAGACATTTTATTTCCTGAGCAAATAACCTGGTTTAGTTGAATACTATAGTATTCAGACTAAATCTGAATTTTCTCAAGGTTAATGCTGCGTGATAGTATGTAGCTCCTTTTTATTATCTATGATAATGCAAAGATTGAAGAATCTTTTTAATTAGAAAGGATTTTGATAAAATTATTTTATAATAGGTCTTTCTTTTCAGATATTTTAAACTGAGTGCTCTACCTACCATGTGCTTGTTTTCCCCAGCCTTGACACTAAATACTTAACAAACGAAGACATTGAATCCCACAGCAATGAAATGGAAGCGAGGCCAGTGTTAATCAAATACATCAAACATGTGTTATAAATATAAAATAAATAAGTGAAGTTCAGTTCTGGTAATGGTGATGTAATACCACTGTTCTCTAGCAACATAATTAGTACAATATAAGAATATTTTTTTTAAAAGATTTTATTTATTTATTTGACAGAGAGAGAGGCCCAAGTAGGCAGAGAGGCAGGCAGAGAGAGAGGGGGCAGCAGGCTTCTCACTGAGCGGAGAACCCGATGTGGGGCTCAATCCCAGGACCCTGAGACCATGACCTGAGCTGAAGGCAGAGCTTAACCCACTGAGCCACCCAGGCACCCCTATAAAAAGATTTTTTAGCATGTTACCTAGACTATAGTATGGTCTAACATTTGTACATAATATCCAAATGAACTAGTTCTGTGTTGAACCACTAGCCTTCCAAATTTTCCATTTTTGCTTTGTGATTTATTTTAGCTTTATATAACTTTATGATTATACACTAGGATAGGATAGATAGGGTGAACTATTTTACAATGGGACTTTTTTTTTTAAGATTTTATTTATTTATTTGACAGACAGAGATCACAAGTAGGCAGAGAAGCAGGCAGAGAGAGAGGAGGAAGCAGGCTCCCCGCTGAGCAGAGGGCCCGACGCGGGGCTCCATCCCAGAACCCTGGGATCGTGACCCGAGCTGAAGGCAGAGGCTTTAACCCGCTGAGCCACCCAGGCGCCCCTACAATGGGACCTTTATATAAGATTAAAAATTTTAATCTGTACTCTTGTCTCAGGAAAAATGTTTAGTGCTAAATCCAACAAAAATAAATCTTATTTGTTAAACATTGTTTTGAATTGGACTCTCTGTTTAATTTTTTTACCTGCTTATAATAATATTAAGAGAAGCTATGGATTTAAAAATTTATTTATTCTGTATTCTTTCCCACGGCTGGGATCTCTTATTAATGCTAACAGTTGTTTTAGGGTTGCATTTCTTGTCATAGTATATAATCATAATATTTGAGATAAGGATAACTTACATTTTCTTTTCTAATATTTATATCACTTTCATTTATTTTTTTAAAATCTCATGGCATTAGTCGTACTTGCAAAAGCAGTGTTGAAAAACTGGGTGGTATTAGGGATCTCTTCTTTGTTTCTATTTTAATGGAAACGATGTTGGTATTTTACCAGTTTATATTTCCTATTGTTTTAGGATATTTAGGAATGACTGCTGGAATTGTCAAATGCTTTTTTTGAGGGACCTAGTAACAAAAACAGTATTACTTTTTATCTTTTAATTAAATGTAATGAATATATACATATATTCATATATGTGTGCATACATATATACTATATATATATTTTAAAGATTTTATTTGAAAGAGAGAGAGCAAGCATGGGGGAAGTTGGGGAGGGGCAGAGGGAGAGGGAGAAGTAAACTCCCCGCAAGGAGCCTAATGCGGGAGCTCCGTACAGGCTTGATCCCAGGACCCTGAGATCATGACCTGAGCAGAAGGCAGACGCTTAACTGACTGATCACCCAGGTGCCCCT